GCAAAAACTAAACCACGGGGAACTTCATCATTTAGATCCATAGGATCTGAAAAATAACAATAATATCATTAATAAGGAAATTTATAAATTCTGGTAAATGATATGTTAAAATAAAAAAAAAAAAATACCTTTCAAGTAATTTTGGACAATTTCGTTTATCAAGTGATTGGCCACGAAGTCCACATCCATGACAAACTCTCTCTTTACTCACTGTTTTTTTTTTTTTTTTTGATTTTTTAAATCTTTTTCCACACCCCTTTGATCTTACTTGTGGTGGTTCGTTGATGCTTAGGTGCTTTTCAATACTTGTTTGTCCCAGGAATACATGTTCAATACCATTACCAATGTTAATGTCCTTTATTTTATTGTGAAGATCATCTAGCCCATTGATCAAGAGATTAGCTCCTTCCTTAGTGAGAGATGCATCATCAACCACAATAGAAGACAATCGAGATAGTTTAGAATGCATTAACATCAATGATTGATTTGAATTGTCATCTATTTCCTCATTATTCTTGTCCCAAACTTGACAAAACTTTGCACTTTTGGTCCACCTTTGAAGAATATATTGAGTTGGCAATTGCAATATCTGTTTGATCCTAAGCCCCTGTTTGTTTCTCATTTTTCATCCATAAAAATGAAACATATGACAGTTATCCATCACATCAAGCCATCAATTTTGAATTTCTATCTCTTGTTTAGGACTCAATAACAGTTATATTTTTCATTCTCATTCTACAATAATGAGAATTAAACGGAGCCTAAAATATGTCAACACATGCCTACATGGAATTCCTTCACATTCAAATTGTTGACAATTACAATGTACAATATCTGAACACTTAAAATAAATAAGTTTTCGAGATCTTGAATTAGAAGATCCATCAATTTGTTCAATAGTATAAGTCACACTTGCTTCATCTTCACATAATGTACTTATAATGTATGCTTGACTCTCAAAAATCTCATCTTGAAAAAATTGAAAAACATATCTTGAATAAATCTTAGACATTTGTGCTTCCATTGGCCACACTGATTTCAATTGTGGTTCATCATCAATATTACAGTGGTTTTTTCGAAAGAAAAAAACCAGGATTCTTTTCTTTTTCTAATATGAAAAACTCAACCAACAACTCAGCATCAATTCCCTTCATTTCTTTTCTCAAATCGCTTTCATAGTTTCCGATATCTCTCTCGGTACATCTAATATTTTGAGGACCCCCATATCCAATCTCCACCAAACTTATCCGACCAAGGCTTTTTTGGCATTTGAAACATGCCTATGAGATCTTAATAGGTGAACTTTAGTAGGTGTTGTGAGTGCATGATTATGAGACTCCACAAATCTACTAACGATCCAATTTGGAGATGATTTTGATCTAGTCATAGTTAATTTAGCCATACAACACACCCAAATGATTCCTCGATGTCTTTCACCTACGTTCAACTGCGGTATTTTTTTTTATGTATATTTGTCATCTATCACTCCATTTTAGCAAACGAATTGTTTCCAAATGTGTTCGTTCGTGCCCGACCTATTCTTAATGTTAAACAATCTAGCAATGAATCCAACTTCTCTTGCATATTTGTTATAAAATTCATACGCACCTCCGATTGTTTCAAACTCCTGCTCGACTTTGGGCTTACGTTCCGCAACTTGTAGTGTGAATGTTTGAATTGAAGTCTCGTCTTCAAGGGGGATAGCTAAGGTTACACGCGTAACCTACAAAATAAAAACAATTTAATTATTTATACAAGTGCAATAAAAAAGAACTTCCCTCTAGAGTTTCGACTGCTTTCGTTTTCATGAAGGGACCCCGTAAAAATGTCATCCAAACAACCGTAGTTATCTACTTCTCTAATCTCTATCTTGCATTGAATTAAACCAAGTGGGATATTCTTACGTTTCTTCATGATATATTTTTCTTTTTACTAATTAATGGATAAATTTTTTGGCAAGAGTATGACTGAATAATAATATAGGTGATTGGAGTTGAACAAAGAACTATGCAAAGATGTACGCACCACTAAGTGAAATCAAATTGAAGAACATAGGCCAATCAACAAAACAAAGAATTCAATTAGGGACAATGTGCCAATCTTACTGAAAATAGATTCTATTAGAGTCTCACATTTGTTGCTAATATTTACACGATCCACTTAATAAGGTGAGGACAATTCGTCTCTAATAAGCCGGTTGAGTTAGATCCAATATTTTTTCTAATATGGTATCAGAGCACACCCAGTTTTTTAATGTTGGGTGCATCCAATATCGATTTGTTCACAATTGTTTGGCACGGTCCACGCTGTGCGTGAGGGAGCATATTAGAGTCCCACATTGACTGGTAATATTTACAAGATCCACTTAAGAAGGTGATGGCAATCATCCCCTAACGACCTGATTTTGTTAGGTTCAGTTAGACCAATATCCTCTCTAATAGATTCATATGCTATTACCATTCCTTTAAAAAAAAATATATGTATTCAAATAATCGCAAGATATATATCTTTGAAATCATTTACCTGTCGCAATCTTATGAAAAATGAATCACCGAATTCTTTATTGGAATCTGAAAAAATCAGAACTAATTAAACTTATCGATGGGAAATACGAGATGGAGCTTGAATTTTATGAAAAAGGGTTATAGTATCGATATCTCCAGCAACACAATGGAGAAGAAGAAAATTGTTATGTCTTTGAAAAAAATTATAAAAGACAAGGAAAAATTGGAGATAACCGTGTAAGTGTATGTATTTAAGTGGGTCTCTAATTGTAATGATTTGTCAATTTAGATTTTGTTTTAGTTTAATTATTTGCATTAATCGACTAATTATAAATATAATTTAATTCATGGATAACCAATAAATTAGTTAGTTTTGCTTTAGCATATACAAATTTCGCGCTCGTTGATTAATTATAAATATAATTTAATTCATGGATGACTAATAAATTAGTTAGTTTTGCTTTAGCATATACGCGCACGCGAGCGCGAGCACATACATACATACATACATACATATATATATATATATATATATATATNTCATCTTCTCTGTCTAATTCCGTTTCCCCATCCTCCTGTTTTTCCCTTCTTTTTTTTTTCCCGCAATTGATTGAAATCCTTTGTAATGAGAATCAAGGGTTGTAGAAATGAGAGTCTTCGTCCACGCCGGTCTGTGCCTGATCAGGGTAAAACAAACATCAATAGACATAATGATTTTATCCCCATACAAGGCCTAGGGCTATGGTAGTCTGGACTAAGAGATCTGCTATAGGGCCCGGCTCAATGATTGGGCCCAAATAGAGGGCGCCGAGGTGTCGTCCTCACATTGGAGGGGGAGTTGAAGTCAGCTTCCCTCCAATTACAGGGTGCCACCTCGGTGCCCTGTTTTTTGTCTCGATCATTGAGTCGGGACAAATTGTTTAATCGTTTTGTTCTTCGTTTTCAATGATTAATGTTTTACTAGAAGCTATAATATATTATTTAACTTGTTGGAATGTAATGCTGATGAATACAGTATTTTTTTTAAAATTGTAATATGGATAGATTTAAAGTGGGATATATCCATAAAAGTGGCATGGATATACGGGGTTTAAATGGATGCATTTAATAAGGATAAAATATAATTTGGATGAATATAGTATTGTTTTATTTTATTTTTAATTTTAAAATTATGATATGGATATATTTAGAGTAGGATATAGATAATAGATATATAAAAATGGTGGATGAAAATAGTGGTATTATATAGACTATTTTAAGGATTGAAAACTATCCAAAAACTGACCAAAAAGTCCTTAAAAATAAATCTAAAGCTAAACTGCTTAAGAACTCGTAAAAAACATGTATTGGCATTGAAAACCTTCCATGTGCAAAAAAATGGCACACTCATGCGCTGGCGCGCTGCCCAGTGCACTCGCACACGCAAAATTATGAGTTTTGCAGCCCAAATCCGTAAACTTCCATATTTTCAATTTTGTCCCCCAAACTTATAATTTTGTACGTTTTGTCGCTAGAACTAATTTTCTCCTCTTTTTCTCGGTTTGCTTGTTCCATCTTCTTGGCCCTTTCTTTAGCTCTCGGATTTGTCTAGTCATCGACACTTTAGTTCCTTTTTAGCCCGATTTTCACATGGAATTTCTTCAAATATAGGACTTCATCTAAAATACAAAAACTCAAAATTAATAAATTCAAATTTCCAAGCTTAATAATTATGTAACTTCAAGGAGCAAAATAAGTGTAAAATATACGCTTATAAATTATATACCTTCATTTCAAAATAAAGGCAACGAGAAAGCTACTTCAATATGTCCACTCTTTATCAATCAAACTAGCGTTTTGTTTCAATTAATGATCTCACGTCACGTGATGACAAATAGATTCAGGCCCAGATGTATCTTTATAATAGAATTAACATGTTTTCATGTGTGTAAAAGCAAATCAAATTTACTTGCTCTCTATAAACATAACTTATAAACGACGTTTGATGATGTGATGTTGTTTTGCTAAATAAGAAATGTTAAAAAAAAAAATTATGAACGACTCTCAAATGGGAACTTGAGAGGAAGAGATTCACTCTTTGGCGGATCTCAAGAGTTCTATAGTTTGGTTCCTTTCAGAAAATGTAATCAATGGAGTGAAAATATTACTTGCGATTCATATAATTTATTCTATATGCTAGTGCTTAAAAGATGCAATTACTCACAATTGAAGGCATTACTGTGTTGGCCAATACATTGGTTTGTTATAAAAAGTGACTTTAGTCTTCCTCAAGTTTTTACTTTGGCAACTTAACTTTGTGGCTTTTGTCCAGTAGATACTATACTGTTTAATCTGAAAAAATAACTAAACTTTGTATACTATACTGTTAAACTTTTTCTAATACAGCACGTGAAACTCGAATGTTTTATGTACTCGAATGTTTTATGTCGCTAATTTATTGATGGACCACAGCAATTGGTTGGAACATCCTTAAATCATTTGGTATAGAGAACTTGCCTATCTTGCTAAAAACACAGCTTTGATCTTTTGAAGTCTAGCCACAACTTCCCTCATGTTGATTCTTTCTGTTGGAGAATCAATCGAACATTCTATTGCCAAAGCCAAAGTCGAAGAGACACATTGCTCCGTTTTGGAGAAATTCTCGTCTTCTCTACCAAGCAAATTGGTGTCCACAACTTCTGTTATTCTATTCTCGTTTAATGATTGACTAACCCAACTCTTCAAGCTCATTTGTTCATCAAACATCTCATCCGTTGGCTTCTTCATTGTATACATCTCCAGCAGCATCACTCCATAACTGTAGACATCACCACTAGTGGATACTATTCCTTCAGCTCCATATTCTACATTGGCATTAAGCATTCTAAGCTTAGTTGATAAACTAAAAGGCTGAAACTGAGTTCAAGATTTCACAAATTTATTTGAAGAAAAAAATAGGTACGAAATTCTAAATAGGGAACATCACCTGGTGCCATATATCCAATTGTTGCTAAGGTATTTGTAAACGCCATTGACTCCCCTTCGCTGAAGAGTTTGGCTATACCAAAATCACCAATGTGGGCAACCATATCTTCATCAAGCAGGACATTGCTAGGTTTCAAATCAGAATGTACAATAGGGAATGTATCACCATGATGCAGATATTCTAAAGCTAATGCAAGTAGCTAACGATATAAATTAGAAAATAGCATGTCCAAGAAATAGTCGTCGGAATATAGCCATTTCTCGAGGCTCCCATTAGGCATGTACTCCAGTACCAGTGCTTTGAACTCTGTGTTACTGCAACATCCTATGATTTTGATTAAATTCCTATGACGAATGGTGCTCAGTACTTTACTTTCTGTAGCAAAGCTCTTGGTTGCCCTTGCTTCTTGTGACTGCAAATTAAAAACTTTCACCGCAACATTTAACCCATCAGAAAGTGTCCCTCCATATACTGCACCAAAACTTCCACTTCCAAGTATGTTGCTTTCACTAAAGGCATTTGTTGCTTCTTGAAGTTCTCGATAAGAAATCCTTCTCCATGCAAGACGTAATGGAATTTCACTTTGGGGTACTGACCTGTCCTGTTTACGTCTTCTTACTATAAACAGTGTCAGGCTCATTGCAAGGATTAACGATTAGATAGGGGGGAGAATATATTTCATCAGCGTAACTACTTTCTTTGACTGTGATCTTTTAAGAGTCCTTCCACACAGTGGAAATTGTTGTCGAGTTTTACTGCAAAGAGCGTAGTTCTGCATAAATGATTGAGCAGTGAAGTTAGCAAAACGTCCCCCACTGGGAATCTCTCCCTCCAGTCTGTTGTGAGATGCATCAAAATGCTGTAGATAATTGAGTGCCTCTAATGACTTTGGAATGTTTCCGGAAAAGTTATTATAAGATAGATCTAAGAATTCCAAGCTGCTTATGTTTCCCAGAGACTCAGGAATAGATCCTTGAAATTTATTATGAGCAAAGAGTAGCCGAACCAATGATTGCATACCGCCAATAGAGCTTGGAATATCTCCTGAGAACCGATTCCAAGATAAATCTAGTGTGTTGATGGCCCTAAAATTTTGGATCTCCCAAGGTAGGGATCCTCTTAAACTGTTCAAGGACAGGTTTAGTATCAGAAGATCGTTTAGGTTCCAGAAGCTTAAAGGTAGAGTAGACTCCAATTTGTTGGAGTCTAGGTTGAGTGTTCTCAACGATCTAAGCTCACCCAAACATGTGGGAATTGCCCCATAGAGCATATTGTCACTTAGAACCAAGTCCACCAAATTGGTTAACTGGCAAAGATTGACGGGGATATATCCATCGAGTTTATTCTGGACAAAATATATACCTTGAAGATTTGTTAATTTTCCAATTGTTCCAGGGATGAATCCCATCAACTGATTGCTAGCAAAGTTTAAATTTACCAAGCTGCTTAAGTTTCCAATCTCTGGTGGAACAGCTCCCTTAATACTGCATCTAAATGCTCTAAGTACCCGAAGAGAAGTAGACAAATTCCCAATAGAAGCCGGGAGGACACCACTCAACTGATTTAAACTAGATACTTCCAAATAATCCAAATATTGGCAATTTGTTAACGAAGAGAAAAATCTCCAAGATTCTCCTGTCAAATTATTTCCTCCAAGCAGAAGGCGTCGTAAAAGTCTTAAATTACCAAAGTCTGGTATAGTTCCAGTCAACAAGTTTTGTGTGGTGTCTAACATGGTCAGCTTTGAAGCATTGATGATAGAGCTTGGAAATTCTCCAGTGATTCTGTTGCTACCCAGTATCTCGAGAAGTTCTAACCCTTCATAAAGTCCCATGGTTGAAGGAAGATGGCCTGAAAACTGATTGTATGAAACCTCCATCACCTTCACTGTTGATATGTTGAACATGGAAAAAGGGATGGAGCCGAATAAACCATTGTTATAGACAAAAACTTCCACATGATTAAGATTGCCAAGCTCAGCCGGTAGTTCACTTGGGACAATGTAAAGATTGTTGTATTATTAACAAACTTTTGGGTTCAAGTGCTTTATTGATGTATATAAATTCTTATCAAATTCGAGAACAAAAAATATTTTACTTACTTTCCTGTGTAAATTATTAGCCCCTTATTTCCTGCAGACAGCTGATATTCGAGTTTAGGTTTTTGCTTAAGATTATTCTAGTGGTCCACTTACATAAGGGTGTCCATTATGGACACCCGGCAACTCCTCATTGAAGGGAGTGCCGACCCCACCAACCCTTCCTCCAATGAGGAGTAATGGACACCCCGATGTAAGAGGTGATGTACCTCTAGCATCTCCCTTTTGCTTATATTATCCTTTTCCTTCTCAAGTAGTTCCATGCTTACTATCTTTGTAAAGTTATCGTCACCAACTTTGTTTTGAAGGCTCCAGATTTTTCTAGAATTATATCTGAAGAGAACGGAATATTTTGGTGAGAAGAAGTTAATTATCTTCCCCTCCTCAACTTCATTATATAGAGACATTAAAGAGTGCACGTATGAAAAATTTGTAAATAAAGAAACATAATAACCCATAATTATACTCTTGCCTAATATACGTGCTTGCCTAATATATGGGATTCCTAATTTATTTTCTTAACACTCCCCCTCAAGTTGGAGCATATATATATGATATAAGCCCAGCTTGGGACAAAGAAATCTCAATCGATTGCCATTCAACGACTTCGTAAACACATCAGCAAGCTGGTCTTTGGTTTTCACAAATGGTGTACATATATTACCACTCACTATCTTGTCCCGAACAAAGTGACGGTCAACTTCAATAAGCTTGGTCCTCTCATAAAAGACTGGATTGGGTACAATATGTAGAACAACCTGATTATCACAGAATATCGGTATAGGAGTAGAAGGTGAGAAATTGATTTCTTGAAGAAAGTGCTGCAACCAAGTCACCTCACTAGCAGTATAAGCTATCGCCCTATATTTTGCTTCTGCACTTGACCTTGCTACTACAGTTTGTTTCTTACCTTTTCAAGAGACAAGATTACCACCGAGAAAAGTACAAAAATCAGTAGTGGATCATCTATCTGACGGAGATCTTGCCCAATCTGCATCTATAAACCCTTCTACTCTGATATGTCTATTTGGTTTATACAATAATCCAAGACCTGGAGCCTTTTTCAAATACCGAATAATACGTATCACAGTTTCCCAATGAGAAATATAAGGGGCATCCAAGAACTGACCAACCACGCTAACTGCATACGAAATATCTGGTCGTGTGATGGTAAGATAATTCAATTTCCCTACCAGACGACGATATTTTCCCGGTTCTCCAAACAATTCCCCTTCATCCTTCAAAAGCTTCACGTTAGGGTCCATAGGAGTATCAACTGGACGACTTCCAAGAAAGCCTGTCTTATCTAACAGGTCAAGAACATATTTTCTCTGAGATAAGTTGATACCCGCCCGAGACTTAGCGATACCAAGAAATATCGAAGCTTGCCTAGATCTTTGATCTGGAAATGTTTTTGTAGAAACTGTTTCAATCGGACAATCTCATCTGCATTATCACCAGTGATTACAATATCATCTACATACACTACAAGAATAATATGTCTTGCTCCAGTTTGTTGATGAAATACTGAATGATCTGTCTGACACCTTTGAAAACAAAATTCCAAAACAACCTCAGAAAACTTCCCAAATCATGCCCTTGGTGATTGTTTTTACCCATATAAAGCTTTCTTCAACTAACAAACATAGTTCTAGCACTCCCCCTGAGCAACAAACTCAGGTGGTTGCTCCATATAAACCTTTTCGTATAAGTCTCCATAAAGGAAGTCATTTTTAATATCTAACTGAAATAGCGGCCAACCAAGATTAACAGCAATAGAAATCAAAACGCAAATAGAAGAAATCTTAGCAACTGGAGAGAATGTCTCATCATAATCAATACCATAGGTCTGTGTGTAACCTTCAGCAACCAGTCGGGCTTTCAACCGATCGACAGTTCCATCAGGATTATACTTTGGAACATAGACCCATCTGTTACCAATAAGATGTACCAGGCAGTAGAGGAACAAGGTCCCAAATCTTATTCTCATGTAAGGCCTCCATTTCCAATTCCATAGCCTTTCGCCAGTTAGGATCAGATAAAGCCTCTGTTACTGTCTTAGGTACAAAACACTAGAAAGATGGGATGTGAAACAGGAAAAAGATGGGGACAATAAATCAAAAGTGACATAGTGGCTGATAGGGTGTTGAGTGACACAAGCACATTTATCTTTACGGAGAGCAATGGGCAATGACCCAGGGTCAAAACATATGACTGGTGCAGGATCTGGAGACGGCAAGGTAAAGGAATAGACTACAGACATTGATGGCTTAGATCGTCGAGTATAAACCTGTGAAGGAGGTGGTGGTTCCCTATGAGAGGATGACGACTCTGGTCCAATAGACGAAGAAGAGTCTAGTACTGGAGAGATACCAATTGGTAGATACAGAACAGGTAAGCGAACAGGATCCCGTATGGATTGGAGAAACGTACCGTGATCAGAGAAATAAGGTGTGGATTCGTCGAAAGTGACATCTGCACTGATAAAGTAGCGTCGTAGGGAAGGATTATAGCAACGATACCCCTTCTGTGTTTGGGAGTAACCAAGGAAAATACATTTCATAGAGCGAAAGTCGAGTTTGTCAAGACCAGGATCGAAATGATAAACATAACAAACACACCCAAAGACTTTGAGAGGCAACGAATGCGGTGGAGAGGAGAAAGACAAAAGAGAGAATTTGGGAGTAACCAAGGAAAATACATTTCATAGAGCGAGAGTCAAGTTTGTCATGACCAGGGCCAAAGTGATGAACATAACAAACACACCCAAAAACCCTGAGAGATAACGAGTACTGTGGAGAGGAGGAAAACAAAAGAGAGAAGGAAGATGCGCTGTCCAAAACAGAGGACGGCATGCGATTAATGAGATAGCAAGCAGAAAGGACAACATCACTCCAAAATCGTTTAGGGACATGTATATGACAAAGAAGAGCACAAGTAACGTCTAACAAATGACGATTTTTACGTTCGGCAACTCCATTTTGTTGTGGAGTATCCACACAAGATGTTTGATGAAGAATGCATTTAGAAGATAGAAGTGATGTAAAAGAAGAAGACATATATTCTCTGGCATTATCAGACCACAAAATAAGCCTGATGAAATTGATTCTTGATCAAAGTGCGAAAGATTTGAAAAATAGAAAACAACTCAGAACGATTTGTCATTAAGAATAGCTATGTCATTCGAGAATAATCATCCACAAAAGTGACAAAATATTGAAATTTATTAGAGGAAATATTGATTGGGCTCCATTTATTAGAATGAACTAACTCAAATAAACTAGAAACACGACTAACAGTTCTTAAAGGAAAAGATACATGGTGATGTTTGCTAAGTTGATAGGCCTCACATTGAAGTGAGGACCATTACGAAGACTCACAACTTGACGTTTTAAAGTGGAAAGAAAAGGGTGACCAAGACGACAATGCCACTGTATGGGTGAAACAGAAGACTGGAGAGCTCGAGGAAGAGAGACTGGTGAAAGATCTAGATAATACAAGACACCAACTTCATACCTGATACCAATCATCCTCTTCGTCTTGAGATCCTGAAAAACACACGAGGAAGGATAAAATGTAACAGAACATTGAAGAGATGTGGTAAGTTTACTAATAGATAATAAACTAAAGGGAAATCCAGGAACATGAAGGACAGCCGATAAATCAATATTAGGGCTAAGATGGGCATTGCTTGAGCCTGCAACACTAGTTCGGGAACCGTTAGCAAGAGTGACACTTTTGGAAGAAGTAACAGGATGATAATCAAGAAAAGAAGTGGACGAACCAGTTATGTGTTCAGTGGCGCCAGAATCGAAAATCCATGGATTGTGAGAAGATGACAGTAAACAGTGAGAAGCTGTAGTACCTGATTTAGCGAGAGTGGCCATAGAAGTGGAAGTGGCTTGTTTATGAGCCAAGAACTAAGCATAATCATCCCAAGGGATATATAAGAAATCAGAATCTTGTGTTGAGCTAGGGTTAGGTACTGGCTCAGATTTTGGGTGATGATCTTCAGCAGACGAGACTTGATTAGCTGAACCGGATGGTTTGCCATGTAAGTCCCAACGATAATTAAAAGAGTGACCTAGATGACCACAGTGAGTACATTTTCGAGGCTCACGTTTTCCCGAATAACCGTTGCCCCTAGTATCTCGTCCATCTCGATAGCTATCACCATGTCCACTTCGACTGCTACATCCACCTCGAAATGACCCACCCCGAGCAATAAAAACAGAACGATCGCCGTTGGGTGTGCTATCTGACACAGTAGAGCGCTGAATATGAGAGAATGTCTCTAGAAGACTGGGAAGCTCTTTTCCACCTAATATCTATACCCGAACTGCCTCAAATTCTGGTGGAAGACCAATAAGAAATTTAACAATGCCGATGTCTTCTAGCTCTTTTTCTATAATCTTCTAATCACGAGAGAGAGGTTGATGCAATTTCTCTCCTGACAGATAGCCAAAGCTTATTATAATATTCAACAAGGCTGGATGATCCCTTCTCAAGCCCAAAGTATTGCTTACACATCTCATAGATTCGAGTGACACTTCCAGTTCCAGAATGTATATGCTCAAAGGAAAACGGTATACAGAAGCCGACATCCACCGAATCTGCCGACCAATTGAGAGCAACAATCACTGTCGACGGATTCAACACACCACAAGACAATAACACACCTTCTACAGCAGCTGAATCACCATGAAAACACCATCAAACTACCATAGGGATGCCCGCGAACACTGCACAACAACTCGACTGGATACCGCTGGGAGCATACTTTCGGGGTAACGACGACACAACACACACGTTTTATAATTGATTACTTCAACACCTCAACCACAAAGGTATGCAATCTGGACAGAAGAAGAAAGAAGAAGAAGAAAAAAAAAAAAGAAGCAGTAGTGGCAGAAAAGCGAAAAAAAAATTATATTGCTCTGATACCATGAAGAGATCAAAATATTTTGGTGAGAAGAAGTTAATTATCTTCCCCTCCTCAACTTCATTATATAGAGACGTTAAATAATGAAACGTTAAAGAGTACACGTATGGAAATTTGTAAATAAAGAAACATAATAACCCATAATTATACTCTTGCCTAATATATGGGATTTCTAATTTATTTTCTTAACAATATCTATCCCTCTATCACACTAGCTTTTGGTTACCATAACTAGAATCAGCAAGAAGGATAAAAATCGGAGGAGTCCACTGACTAAGCGAGCCAATAAATATGAGTTCATAGCATGTAATAAAGGATTTAGTGTTATCAATGTATGAGTGAGGTGAGAGATTGAGTGCTAGTGGCAGTGAGTATTCAAGCTGGCTTGTGCTTGGGTGTTATGTTTAGATACCCATTACAACTGTACAATTTTCGTCAGTAAAATAGATCTCTCTTGTGATCAAACTCAACAATTTGGTATCGAAACTAGGTGGTCAATGGAAGGATTTTTTGAGCTTCTTGTGATTGTGCAAAAATTGAGATTATGAAGTTTTCAAAAAGCTTACTTAGTAATGAGGAGGTTACCCAAGTCATGACAACGGGAACCTACAAGTAATATGTGGAATTAAGAAGCTTGACAATCAAAATTACACTACATGGCACATGTGTATGGAGTCGTATCTCCAAGGGCAAGACTTGTGAATGTAGCTAGCCAACGACAAATGATGTGACTTTATCGGAGGACATTGAGGTTATGAAGAAGTGGAAAATCTCAGTTAAGACTATATTTGTGAATACAACTACTTATGAGAAATTTTTGGAACATGTAAGGGACAAAAATACACCAAATGAAGCGTAGGACACTTTTCTCCAAGAAAAATGACTTGATATTATATTTATTGAGAAGGAGTTATTGTGGATCACTCAAGGAGAAATGAAAAATAAGTCATTACTTTATAATAAGGTAAATTCCTATGTCACGAAATATTTGAATTAGATGCTACTAGTAAAATTATAGAAGGTAGAATGAAAAAATAGTTATACATGAACTAAGACCTGAATTTAGATACTTCAATGTTGCAATAAAACATTGACCAGTGCCATTCTAGGTACTTCAATTTAGATGCTTGCTGAGCTTGGATTTGCTCAATCTAGTCCAACTCCCCTTCATGCAGACAATACTAGTGCCATTCAAATAACAGCAAACTCAGTATACCACGAGCGTACTACATAGTAGTTGATTGTCATTCTATTCGTGAAGCGTTTGATAGGCAACTGATTTCTTTACTACATGTACGTACTAATTTGCAAATTGCAGATGTCTTCACCAAAGCTTTGCCTCGGGCAAGACATGAACTTTTAGTGAGCAATTTGCTGTTGGTCTCTGTTCCATCATCAATTTGAGGGGGGGCGTCAACGCTAGTTGTCTATGATTATCAATGTTAGCTGCCTATAATTGCTGTCTATGACAGAACATTCCTTAAAGGTTGTAGGTAGATGTATTTCAATTGTAATTAACACTATCCATATATAACATGGACTGTGATTAGTAGGTGCTTAGATTGAGGGATTCTAATGAATGTAATTGATGTCATATACTCTATATATTTTGAGAATACAGAAATGGAACGCAGATTTCTAGCAAAGTCTCTATTTTTTGTCATTCACAACCCCAATTGAAGAGGACGAGTAGACAATTGAAACCAAATATCAAGCATGATATCACAGCAATAGAAGATGAAAAGAGAAGTATCAAAGAGGTAGAGAAATTTGAAGTAGCAAACATGTTAAAGAAAGGACAGAGCTCTTCAAAAACACTCGGAATTTAGAACACTGTTAGAAACGATTGGAATAGAAAAGCTAAACAAGAAAGTCGGTGTTGAAGGGGAGAATTTAAGATATCATCACCTATTTTGTTTTGAAGGATTATATCTCTTCCTATTTCATTTTTTTTAGGAAAAATCTGGAAATTACTAGCTTTTGCTTGCCATATAGAAAGTATCTAGAATTAGCAAAAAGAATAAAAGTTGGCGGAGTCCACCAACTGAGAGAGCCTATAATATGAGTTCATAGCATGTAAAATATGATTTGATTGAATTAGAGTATGAGTGGAATGTGAGAAAATTGAGTGAGATAGTTCACTAAAGCTGTGAGTGGGTGTTTGTTTGTGCAAGTGATAGTGATAGTGATGTGAGTGCAAATAATATAATTGTCTAGTCCAAATCAAATTGTACTAGTTTTATTGCTATAAAAATACAATTTCGTTTGTGCTCAATTCAACTCTTTATAGTTGAATAAATAAATGACAAACTGCTGTCATGGTGAACTATACATATGTCCTAACTGCTGTCCTAAGTATTAGGTAATCCATATTTCAAACTCACTACTCAGTGCATGGTGTGACAATGAGACAAACCACAACAACAATAACAAACTAAATCTTATTCCCAATAAACAAAAACAGACATTTTGCAGCATGTATTGTGAAGTGAAGAAGCATCATAACAGTAGGTGAACCAAAAAAAAGGCATTTTGAATTATGGATGTCATGAAGTAGCATGGCTTTGATTGCTGTTGATATGTCATATGACAAATCCTAGAAAAGAAAAGAAATTATAGAAAGACTGTTGATAATTTTAATTGAGATTTCAAGTTTCTTTTGACGTTAGAGAAATGGAAATTAACTTCAGAAACATCGTAATATATTCATTTAAATTTAATTATCTTACCTGTCAATTTGTTATTATGTAAATATAAATATTGCAGCTCAGTGAGGTTTCCCAGTTTCGTAGGTATACCACCTGTAAAGTTGTTGTCCGACAAAAATATGACCTGAAGCCTTTTACATTCCAGTACGTTGGAAATTTGGCCAGTCAGCTGATTGGATTGAAGAAATAGCATCTCGAGCTCGTGAAGATTATGGCAAATGTCAACCGGGAGGCTTCCAGACAGGCTATTGTTGGCAAGGTTGATTCTTCTCAGAGAAGATATGTTAAAGACAAAAGATGGGATTATCCCTGTTAGTGAGATGCCTTGCATGCCCAATATCTCTAGATGCGAAAGATTACCTATTTCCAATGGAATTCCTCCTGAAAAGTATGCAAAATCAGAAAAGCAATTCACTGTGAAGACATATGTTTGAATCACATTTAAAGTGTAATTACAATTGGGTTGAACAGAGGCATAAAAAGAAAATGGGATAATGAACTTAATCTGTGGATGTAAGCGCAGACGCATGAAAATGCAACACAACCTATTTTATCCTAGATACAAGATCCTAAGCAATTGCATAAAAAATAAATCATACCAATGAAGTTGTTCATCCCCAGATTTAAGCTCCTGAGCATGGTCAAACTGCCAATTGCACTTGGTATGCTTCCATTGAAATGATTATTGGATAATGATAGGTCTTGAAGGTATCTGCACTTGTATATATTTGATGGAATTTGCGCATATAGTTGATTCTTTGAGAGATCGAGTATTGTTAGTTTCAAGATATCATCGCAAATATTATCTGGGATCCTTCCTGACAGGCTATTATCTGTGAGATCAAGTACTCTCAAAGAAGACATGTTGAAGATACCAAATGGTATGGATCCGGTAAGCTGGTTAGACCTTAATACTAATGTTTCCAGGGAAGAAAGATTTGCAATCTCTTGTGGAATATTTCCGTCTAGAAAATTGTTCTCCATATCTATTGTCTGCAGCTTTGAATTGTTGTACATCCGTGATGTTGGGATGCTTCCGGAGAAATTATTGTTATTCAGAAGAATGTGCTCAAGTTCTGGTAAAATTCCAAACCATGATGGTACCTCTCCTGTGAAGGTGTTAAATCCCACATTTATTTCTTTTAAGCGGCGTAAATTAGAAAGCTCAGAGGGTATTATCCCCATAAAATTGTTGGAGCTGAGGTCTAAATAACCGAGAATTGTCAAATTTCCAATATGTGGAGCAATGGTTCCTCTGAACCCAAAACCCGAAAAATTTAAGGCTGTTACTCTAAACTGCTTTCTGCTGCAGGAAATGCCAATCCAGTTGCAAAAAGATGTTTTCGTCGACCAGTTAGCAGTCAAGATATTGTTGGGATCTGAAGTAATTCTGGTTTTGAAAGCAAGAAGTGCTTCTTCATCTGTGGTTGAGTTAACAACTAATCTGCCAAAGCAAACTGAAAGGCAGTTTACTGATAACACTACAATAATAATAAAGCAGCAGAGTTTCTCCATAATATAAAATTTTGAGTTGTACAAGTTCTTATGCTAAATGAGACATATCTACCCTCTATATAGAGACCACATGTTGCAGAAATGTGTTGGTTTTTGGGTTTAAAATGCTGTTAGTCACCAAACTTACAATGTCGTTTAACTTTGAACTCCAAATTTCTATTTTTGTTTCAGTAAGACACGTGTTTCCAAAACATGAAACTACGCACCTCTATGGTGTAAAGATGCGTTAGTTTTGTCATCCAGACATTCAAGTATTGATTCTTCTAATGTAAAATTGTTCGTAAACCCAATGGTTTATCTGAAGAATAACCATTTTTTGCCAATCTAGATAACAAAAGCAATGTATCAAAGGACTTTTTTGGAAAAAAAAAAAAGTTTGATGAACAAAATAAAACAACACTTTACTTAGTGATTAATAATGTTTGTATCGCGTTGATTTTTCTAATCAAATAATAGAGATAAACTTCAAGGTACATTGTAATCGTCACTATCTTAAGAGTTATGGTGTATAATTTGGTTCACAAATCACAAGAATAGCTTCTAAAATAAAACCAAAGTCCCGTTTCTTGCAATGAGAAAATTAAGGTCAAGAATGTTGGAGGAGTTATTCCACAACCTTTATCTCTTGGGAAATGCCGGATGTACTGAGGGGGTGGCTACCGAATGTGCTACCCCCCTCACAAAAATCCGACCCCACATGAATATAATAATGCCGACCTCGTGGTTCTCACTTTCTGATGTGAGTGGGGTGTAAAAGATTAGGTAAAAAATTATGTACACGNCCACTCGCGTGTCAGGCCTGACCCCGTACAATACAACCGTTGACAATGAAGGACAAAAATGCCCTCTTTCTCATGTGCTAGCTGCAATTCAACATTGTCAAAAATGGTAGGGGCAATATTGTCATTAGTGGCTTAATGGTGCTTTTAAAATATGAGAAAGTCATGGACATATGCAGAAACGTACACAACTTTGCAGTGATATAGTCAATAGGTCCCAGCTACCTACCATTTTTGACCCAACAAAATGAAATGTAATGAGAAAAAACGGGGCCAAATAGGGGGTTAGACCCACTAGTCTTTGTTTTAATGGAGTTTTTCGACAAACGCGAGGAAAGAAATTAGTAAATTCCAGTGAAGATTCCACAGAGAAAGTCCCCGTTTGACATCCGTTTTTGCCAATTTTTTCAACAGAAACTTACATTATTGTGGGTCCCAATGTCCTTCAGTTCTGTCCTTCTCACCTGACTTTTGTTTAAATTATTATTTTTGGGTATGATAACTCAACTGTCAGAATAGTTTTATATTTTTCTTTGATTCCGAATATGCCCTTGAACGGCTTTCAAATGCTTGTGTCAAAATGGTTGAGGGCAAAGATGTAAAGTTGCAATTGAATCCGGGGGGTGAAATTGTCCAAAGATTTTGAACGGCATTAAACATGCCGACAAAAAATTCTGAAATTACACAGGTTTTGTCAGGAGTGTACTGTAGAAAAATGAGATTGGAAAAGAAAAACGGATGCCAAACGGGGGCATATCTGGGTGGTGAAATAAGTCACTTTGGCATTTCTTGAAAAATGTCGAGTACACAGAAGAAAAAACAGGACAGGAAAATGACAACCTTGTCTAACCCCTTAATCGGTTTCAATTATTTTAGTTAAATAATCCAATATACACTTGATAAACCACTGGACATTCTGTATATCTATCCATTTGTATGTATACCGTTAAAATATTATAAATCGTATATAACAAATTTGTCTCAGTATCATAAAATAGAATACCCTATTTGTAGAGCTACAAATAACACTGAAAGAAAAATTGTGTGATAATCAAACAATTAACTCTTAAGGAAAATAACCTCACACAATTGAAAAACTATCATGAAGAATAATTTTATAATATTTTCATATCAACAACATCTCCTTCTCAAACTCAATATGGTGGTGTAAAAATAAAATTGATCCGGGCAATGATTTACGTTGCATGCCAACTAAGCCAACCACAAAGTAGAACCTGGTGCGAAAGGAAACCATTATCCACCAAGACTTGAGGGGGCACATCCAACTAGTACAAAAAATAGCACTCCAGAAATTCATGGTATTATCTGCAATCTGCTCAAAGATTGAGCCAAAAACTGGACTAAAAACAAGAACCCAGGCACACTAGGAGGCTAAAAAATGTGATGGAAATAAATATGGTGGAAAAATAGATTTTTCTTCCAAACAAGAGGTGTCAACAGCAAAATCACAAACAATTCCTCCCTCAACATGAAGGTCTTGTGGTTCGAATCCATGATCGTAATTCTAACATTAGCAATAACAATAGAAGCGATCACAGAAAACCTTAGAAGATATCAGAGGGGACTAACTTGCTCCAATCTGAAAGTTCGTGGACCAAATTTAACTTTTTAGAGTAAGAAAGAGGGTAGAGGTTGTCAAAGCGATATAGAGGTTAGATGTGATATTGGTCGGACCGCTCGTTAAAAAAATGGAAACAATTGCAAGATTAATCGAAGATCAAAATACCATGTTAAAATATTATAAATTGTATATAATAAACTTGTTTCAGTATTATAAAATAGAATATCATATATATAGTGCTACAAGTAAATTTAGAAGAAAAGATTGTTTGATAATCATAGAATCAATTACTTGGAAAAATAATTTCACACAATTTAAAAAACTATCATGAAGAATAAATTTAACATATTTTCAAAATATAGAAAGTTTTTAGTAGGTTATCGCGATTTTGACAAGCTCACGTCAGAAACGCGTTTTTATCAAAAATTTCCAACAGGAGTTAGGAACAATGTAAAAGTAGTTTGAGTGTTGGGAAAGCGTGTGCATTTTTTCCTGGGGGCTGGGGTGGATCATGGATGGAAGGGAGCTTTCGAGTTCTAGGCCCCAGTTTTCTTAAAAAAAATGTTAAATGTACATAATTATTGTAAATAAGAGTGTACATAACCTTTACATGGGGTGAGGTCCACAAAAATGTGCTCTTCATCCCATGTGAGGGTTATGGACATTTTTATGTAAAATAATTATGTACACTAAGCAAAGTTATTTTCTGAATTTATTTTTCTTTTCTTTTCAATTTTTTTTTTATAAAATTACTTATGGGCTCAATTTCATCCTATTTTATATTTAGGGAGATGCTAGAGGTACATCACCTCTTACATCGGGGTGTCCATAATGGACAACGGCGCCTACTCATTGGAGGGAGTGCAGACCCGGCACTCTCTCCAATGAGGAGGCGTCGGGTGTTCATTATGGACACCAGTGTGTAAGATGGACACCCTTATGTAAGTGGTGATATACCACTAGAATAATTCTTATATTTAACAATATGTACACGACGAGTTTCAAAATAGAATTTTAATTACATTGATGTCCAAAAATGAAAAAAAAAAAAAAGAAGAGCAATTAAAGCGGTGTGACTCACTTATTCTTCGCAGATGACAACATGGTATTCTATAGAGCTATCCCAAACGACGATGAGAACATTAACCCTCGTTTCGGTGCCATTTTTTTTTTTTTTTACGAAAATGTATTCTTAGGTCACACTATATGGCCCACCAATACAGAGCAATCCCTGATTTTTTTAAAGATATTTATGCTCAGCTTCCACTTGTAAGGTAGAGGGCAAGATTGGGAAAAAAAGGGAAAATCTATGTTGCGCACAATAGTCATATTTGTGTATATTTGTGTAGGATGATATTGATTGAAGCAATAACATTTGGGGCCTACAACCATATTTTTTTTTTTCAAAAAATACGGAAGAAATTGAGTCCAAACAAGCGTTAAGGATGTACTTGAGATATATGAGCAAGCTCCTAGCCAAAAAGTGAATATAACAAAGAATAGTGATATTTATCATTGTGATGATGAAATATCATTAATGTGACATCTATGTTGAATAATGTGATTGGACAATTTAATTTTTATGAGAGAGAGGGAGATGAGAGAGAGAGAGAGAGAGAGAGAGAGAGAGAAATGTGAAGTATAATGGATTGTCACATCATCGATATTCCATTATCATGATAATAAATATCATTACTACATATCAAAACACCTATCATCTTCAATCCCAATACATCGAATATCTCTGAATGAAAATATCTCAAATACGATATACGAATAAAAACCAATATAATTCAGAAACTAATATCCATGAGTAGGGACACCTAAGCTCTTTCTGCAAATTGCAATATACTCTTAAGAAATGACATTCAATATTTTTTTTACTTTTAAAAAATTTTCAATTTTTAATTTCATGTATAAATATTTTACTCACAACTTGTAAGTAATTTTTATACATAAGTTAATTTTTTAACTTAAAAGTGAAATACTTATAATTAAAATTTTAAGTTATAAGTTAATGTTGTGCTTATAAATATTCTTGCACATAAATGATTTTTTTTACTTTCTACTTTTGCCTTATTATAAGCAATTTTTACGTAAAAATGAAAAAAATTGGATACAAGTACAAAAATGTCATTTTCTGCTATCGAGGAAATATAAAGGATGGATGGATGGATGGATACATCTGAGATTGAAATTTAATCTTTGATGTAATTTAGCAGTTATTGATTTGATAATATCAACCAAAGCTTTTATTTCTTTTCCATGGACTTCATAACACCATCAGTCACGGAAATGTATCTAGGTTTTTCCAGTCTGCACTCATTAACATAACAGGAAATATGTTGTCAAGAACTAAATTTTAAAAAACACCTTGAGGAAGAAACATAAAGATTTTTTACTGTACATTGTTGGTCTTCAAATGTGGCTGAAGCCTCCTTTCGTGAAAATGTGCCAATTAGGACATTTGAACAAATGTATCAGACGAGTAAATATTTTTAGGAATATCGAATATGATGATAGATATATTAATGAAATCTGGAACGTCCTTAAATCATTCGTTACAAAAAATTGTATCAAATGACAACTATGTTGGTTGGTTCTAGAGACAAAATTGTGCTGTCTTTAGCATTTGAAGTTGTTGCTAGAAATGTTGTTTTAATCTTTTCAAGTCTAGCCACAACTTCCCTCATATTGATTCTTTCCACAGGAGAACTGGCCAAACATTCCATCGCCAAAGCCAGAATGGATGAGACACATTTCTCCTTTGCAGAGAAATTTTGGTCTACTTTTCCAAGCAAATTGGTGTCCACAACTTCAGTTATGGTATTTTCAGCTAATGAGTGCCCCACCCAACTTTTCAAGCTCATTTTTTCACCAAACATCTCATCTGTCGGCTTCTTTCTTGTATACATCTCCAGCAGCATTATACCAAAGCTGTAGACATCGCCACTAGTGGATACTATTCCTTCGGTTCCATATTCTACATTGACGTTAAGAATTCATAAGATCAGTTCACAAGTTTAAAAGCTGACAATTGAAGATTTTTCACATTTTTATTGAAGAAAAAGTAAATCTAACAAATTGAAATTGAACATCACCTGGTGCCATATATCCAATTGTTGATAAGGTCTTTGTTTGAGCCATTGACTCCCCTTGATCGAACAGTTTGGATATACCAAAATCACCAACATGTCCCACCATATCTTCGTCAAGCAGGACATTGCTAGGCTTTAAATCACAATGAAGGATAGTGAATGACAGACCATGGTGTAGATATTCTAAAGCCAATGCAACATCAATTGCTATATTTAATCTCTTTAATATGTCCAAAAAGTAGTTATGGGAATATAACCATTTCTCGAGGCTCCCATTAGGCATGTACTCCAAGATCAGGGCTTTGAACTCTGCGTTACTGCAATATCCAATGGTTTTGACTAAATTCCGATGGCGAATGGTGTTCAATACCTCGCTTTCTATATCAAAACTCCTGGTTACTCGTTCTGACAGCAAGTGGAAAACCTTCACTGCAACATTTAATCCATCAGAAAGTGTTCCTTTATAAACTGAACCAAAACTTCCACTTCCAAGTATGTTGATTTCACTAAAGGAATTTGTTGCTTCTTGAAGTTCTTGATAAGAAATTCTTCTCCACAAAAGACCTAATGAATTTTCGCTCTTCGGTAGTAGTTGTCTGCAAGATTTTCTTCTTCTTAGCATCAAAAGGGTTATGCTCATTGCAATAATAATTGCTATGATTGGGGGAAGAATATATTTCATTAATGCCCCCGCGTTCTTTGACTTTGATCTTTCAATTTTTTTCCCACAATGCGGAAACTGTTGTCGAGTTTCACTGCAGAGAGCATAGTTCTGAGCAAATGATTGAGCAGTGAAGTTCGCAAAACGTCCCCCAACAGGAATCTCTCCCTCTAGTTTGTTGTGAGACACATCAAAATATTCTAGATACTTGAGTGTCTCTAATGACTTCGGAATCCATCCAGAAAAATTATTATAAGACAGATCCAAGAATTCCAAGTTCCTCATATTTCCTAAAGACTCAGGAATAGATCCTTGAAATTTATTATGTGCAAAAGATAGTGAAACCAATGATTCCATGGCATCAATAGAACTTGGGATATCACCTGAGAATTGATTTTGTGATATGTCTAGTTTGTTGATAACCTTCAGATTTTTTATTTCCGAAGGTAGGGAGCCTCTTAAACTGTTCGAGGACAAGTTTAATTCCAGGAGATCATTAAGGTTCCACAAATTCAAAGGTACAGTAGACTTCAATTTGTTGGAGTCTAAGTAGAGTCTTCTGAAAGATTTAAGTTCACCCAAACACGTGGGGATTGACCCATGAAGCGTATTGTTACTTAGATACAAGTCACCCAAAATGCTTAAATGGCAAAGCTCAGCAGGGATGTATCCATCAAGTTTATTGTGTTCAAGATAAATACGTTGAAGATGTCTTAATTTTCCTAGTGATCTTGGGATGAATCCCATCAACTGATTGTTATCCAAATACAAATCTGTCAAGCTGCTTAAGTTTCCAATCTCGGCAGGAATAGCACCCATAATGTGGCATCCAAATGCTCTGAATACTCGAAGGGAAGTGGAGAAATTCCCAATTGATGCTGGGAGGATACCGTTTAGCTGATTCAAAGATACTTCAATCATATCCAAATATCGGCAATTTGTTAATGAAGAGAAAAATCTTAACTCCAGACTCGAAGACTCTCTGGTCAAATTATTTTCTCCAATTAAAAGGCGTCGTAGAAGTCTTAGATTACCAAAGTTTGGAATTGTGCCAGTCAAAGAGTTGCTGGCCATGTCTAAGATGGTAAGCTTAGAAGCATTGGTGATAGTGCTTGGAATTACTCCAGTGAGTCTGTTGTCACCCAGATAAAACTCTTCAAGATTCGGAAGTGAGAGGCCAATGGCTGAAGGAAGATGGCCTGAAAACTGGTTGGCTGAAAGTTCCATCATCTTCACTGTTGATATATTGAACATGGATATGGGGATGGTGCCAAATAAGCTATTGTTGCGGACATTAACTCTCTCAAGGTTAAGATTTCCAAGCTCGTCTGGTAATTCACCTACCACCATTTATTGACTTTTAGTCCATCTAACTTGTGTCCTAAAGTATTTCATTTATGTAAAAAAAAATTCATATGAATTTGATAACAGAAATCCTTTCAGTTATATTAACCAAATAATTAGCTCTTTTTTCCTTGCTCACAATTTTTTTCTCTACTTGGAATTTGTCTTATTATATACTTCTCCTCAAGTTTTTTCATGCTTACCATCTTTATGGTTTAATTAGATGAAAAGAAGTGTCTATTCATGTTACTAAGACATGCGCTACTCCAACTAAGTCAAAGTAGTAGTGAACTTAAATATTATGCGTCCTAGCTGATATTGTAGGTATTAAATGACTCAAACTCATTCACTCATTAGACAGCCTAAATCACGGAAGCACAATAATGTTGTTGACAAAAGGAACTCTAACTTAAATATCTGGTGGTCCTGAAAATTCATGGAGGCTGTGTTGATGTGTTCCTTTAAAAAAAAAAAAAAGAAAGAAAAACATGCTAGTAAACTAGTGTAATTGTGTTAACATAAAGATGGGAGGGGTTTCGAAAACAGCCCTTCTACAGCGTGTATCATGAATAAAATACATCTAATAGTTGAACTGCATTTCAGAATTAGTAAGAGGAAACTTTGCATTTAGGTTCATGATGTCCCGTGGCTTTGTTTTTGACTGAGATCAGAAAGACAAGTTTCCAAGTTTCTTTTCTTGTGAGTGAAATGGAAACTTCAAAAAACAATTTAATATTATCATCATTCAAAGTTAAGGATGTGAAAGCTGTCGAACATACCTGTCAATCTGTTATTATCTAGAAATAGATACTTCAGCCTAGTGAGGTTTCCAACTTTTACAGGTAGACCACCCGTAAGATTGTTGTCGGACAGTGATATGACCCAAAGACTTTTAAAATCCAAAATGTTCAAAAGAGTTAGGCCAGTTAGCTGATTGGAATGAAGATAAAGCTGCTCGAGCTCAGGAAGCTTATGATAATTGTGAACTGAGAGGCTTCCAGACAGGCTGTTGTTACTAAAGTCGATCGCTTTCAGAGAAGATATGTTGAAGATAGAAGATGGAATTGGCCCTGTTAGAGAGCCGCCTGGTATGCTTAATAATTCAAGACGTGAAAGATTACCTATTTCCGTTGGAATTCCTCCTGAAAAATAGCCATAGGCAAGAAAAGTTTTCATTGTGAAGCTATCTGCTTATAGATTTTTTTCAACACGACGCAATTTTCTAAATTAGATTAGGTTCATATAATAACTCTATTCATGTACTTGCGTTTACGCTTATATAAGAAGCCTTTTATGAATTCTATTTGATGAGAAGTTGCAGAGTGTTTTGAACAAAACAGAAAGATAAAAAAGAAGATTATCTAAAATTCTTTGTACAACAACAAACTACTCTCATGTATCAAGAACAAAGATTTCTGTTTCATGGACCTATACATACACTTCCTTCGGGCTTCTGTATCTAAAAGCACTATCAGGGGGTCTTTGCAATTTCTCCTATGATTGATATGTTGGGTAATTATTTAATTTCCCGTGATGGGCCGACATATGTAATTACCTGTGTATAAATGCTACCTTAAAGTTAAGCCCAAAATTAAAGTGATCTAATAAGAAATTAAGTAATTGATATGAAGATGAAGATCCATAAAACTCATAATCAGGAATTAAGATGGAGATTTGAAGCAACCAAATTGAAGATTTACATATCCAGATTCAAGATTCATTATTCAAGTCAGAAATCAATTGATTAAGGTATGTTTCGCGTTAATTTAGTTTCTTGATGATTTGACATGAAGAAGTTCAAGTTTTTAATAAAGTTCCAACATGATAAGCAATATTTTTTACTCCAAGTACACGCTCACTTTTTAGTTTTTGCGCCAGTCTCATTTAGCTATGAGTAAAGCCACTCAAACAGGTTTTAGTGATAGGGATTGGAAACCAACACGACGTGGCAGGTTGTGATTGGCCTGTTTTGTTTTAAAAATTTCCATCTTCCAATGAATTCTCGCCAAGTGTGTCGGTCAAAATTTCCCCGTCAATATTCCCTGTTTTTCTAGCATATCTCTTTAGCAATATAGGATATATTTGAAAATAGATTCTAAACCAGTTTGTTAAAAGAGAGTTTAAATAAATAAATTTATCCATTCTCCAACAATTTAAGCTTTTAGATAGGGTTGTAATTATACCTTCCAAGTTGTTTATCCCAAGAAATAAACTCCTCAGCATGGTCAAGCTGCCAATTGCACTTGGTATTCTTCCATTGAAATGATTATAGGATAATGATAGGTCCTCGAGGTACCTGCACTTGTGTATATTTGATGGAATTTGCCCGTAGAGAAGATTCTTCGAGAGATGGAGTCCGGTCAATTTCGGGATACTATCGCATATACTCTCCTGGAGACTTCCTGACAGGCTATTAATAGAGAGATCGAGTACTTTCAGAGAAGACATGTTGAAGAAACCAAAAGGTATGGACCCTGTAAGCTGGTTAAACCTTAAACCTAATATTTCCAGGGCAGAAAGATTGCCAATCTCTTGTGGAATCTTTCCATTTATAAAATTGTTTCTCATTTGCAGAGTTTGTAGCTTTGAATTGTTGCATAAAGATGGAGGGATGCTGCCTGTGAAACTATTGTTGTTCAGAAGAATCTGCTGAAGTTCGGGTAAGATTCCAAACCATGAAGGTACCTCTCCAATGAAACTGTTAAATCCCATGTTTATCTCTTCTAAACGACGCAAGTTTGAAAGCTCGGGGGGTATTAGCCCTGTAAAATTGTTGAAACTGATGTCTAAAGAACCCAGAAACGTTAAATTTCCAAGATGTGGAGCAATGGTGCCTGTGAAGTCGAACCCCGAAAAATTTAAAGCAATGACACTTTGCCTATTCTTGCTGCAAGAAACACCAATCCAGTTGCAAATTGACGTAGTAGTCGACCAGTTATCTGCCAAGATGCCGTAAGGGTCTGAAGTGATTCGAGTTTTGAAGGCAAGAAGTGCATCTTCATCTGTGGTTGAGTGTAGCGCAAAGCAGTTCACTGAAAACACTACAACAGCAATGAAGAAGCAGAGTTTCTCCATGAAGGCTAAATTTTTTATTTTTTGTGTAAGATTGTTATGTAAATGTAACATATCAACATTCTTTTGGAATTAATTCAAGGCCTCAAAAAGAAGATATTAGGCTCCAAGCTATTAATGATCTACTTGTCTAGTGGGAGCTTGCAGTTACTCCTTTCAACAACTAAAATTTCAATAATACAAGTCTTGTCTCCTAAAAAATGTTAATTTTACGGTTCATTCTACAACAAGTATATCTACTTGATGAACCTTGCTTTTAATTGCATAGCATCATTATATGGTAGCAATATCAATATTTTTTTGTGGATGTTTCGTACACAATACTCTAAAATGCTAAACAAATAACTCATTTTTCATTTAAAAACGAGGTTTCTATTGATGATGTAATGATTCTTATGTTAATGGGCTGCCCATCTCTGAATGGGAAGTGCCAGATATTGTATTCATGTGCTGGTCTCCATCCAACGTGGATTTTTTTATTTATTTTTAAACTGAATCGATACATTATTCAACCATTATCCTCCTAGAGAGTTGGCCCCAAAAATAAAAGAATGAATGAGATCCAAGAAATAGAGGCGTTAGTTAATAAAGCAACTAAAGCTAATTCTTTGACTACTTTGTTACCTTCATGGAACACATAACAAGAGCCACTACTAACTTCCCTCATAATATCATTATACCAAGCAACATTCGGGCAAAAAAAAATAGAATCTGAAGACAAGCACTGGACATTACAGAGGGAGTCAATTTCTGTTAAAGATAACTGGAAGTTACTTTTCTTCCCGAATAGGTGTCCATCCGGTAATGCCATTGGTTAGCTTCTGTCAATGAGAACCAACCAGCAATCCTTTTGGCAAAGGCCGCTATAACCACCCATTAGGTCCCCGAATGACTCTTCCAACTCCAATACACTCCTCCCCAACCTGCATCACTGTGTCAGTGTTCGGTTTGAATCCCCTGCCTGTGTCAATAGCTCAGCACTTCCCTCTTTTACACCACTGCTGCCCCTCACCCTCCAACTTCCTCTCTGACTCCTGGACACCCCTCATGCACCATGGTCAGCCCTGACTATAGGCGCGATAGGCGATCTCTCAAGGTCCTGCCTTGGTGAGAGCCCCCAATTTTTTTTCTTTCTAAATCTATAAGTAACAAATAATTTTTTCAAAAAACTTTACATTCTTCAAAGCGTAAAAATGTTTTTAACTTCCCATTTTATTTTCTTTTTCTTTTTCTTTTTCATGTTCAGACTAACTCTTCGTTTTCTCTCCACTTTTCTCTTCGTCGTTTCTTTTGTTTGTTACTTTTATTTTATTTTATTTACTTGTTTAGTCATCCTCAATTCCTCGTTCAACCCTTTGCAAATTCTCAAGCTTCCGTTTATACTTATAGTCATTGACAGTAACATTGAAATGTATTTTTTTTTCCTTTCATTTTTATGCCCTTTGTGTGTGTGTATTCTGTGTTTTTCAATTTTGGCATGAAAGTATGAAATTGGTTAGATTTTTTAATTTTTACATCTATCACTCATTTTTGTTATAATGATGCTTTGACTTCCCTCTATTTTCTAGACTAGTATATTGTTGGCACATAGTTCTTCATATTTTCTTTATTTGAAAATTGTTGTCAGATGATAACTCGATATTTTTATCTCTTTGTTAACTATAAGTCTGCAATGCTAATTGGTTGGATGAAGAAAAAAGAATAGATTAGGAGATGTAGACTCATAATATTAGATTATTACTTTTTTTTTTTTTTTTTAAATTGGCTTAAGGCCGCGCGCACACATCTTAGAAGTTCATCCATGCAAGAAGGTCCCCATCCATAGAGTACCCCATTTATTTCTCCCATCACATCCCCTTGAATTCTCAACTAACACTGCCAAAATATCTACGAAACTGGTTGATGCAAGAGTAATTCTTCCACGTCCTCTTTGCCCAATCACACTGGTTTGCCACAAAGAGAGCATTTCACGTTCCCTCTCTACAAATAAAAAAAAAGGCACAAGTAGGCAATGAATCATTGTAAATCCTGCACAAGAATTGGAGGAGCATAAATAGATCAAATAATCTTCCACCATTCATGCATCGCTCCCAGCTCCCTTCTTCTAGCAAACTACATTCCACTATTCTCAAAGTGTCGGGCCATAAATATTTTGTATAGACAAAGACATGTAATTTTGTGCAAACTCGTCGAGGTCATCTCTACGTTACTTGTTAATGTTTAATAGTGTATTGTTTATAAAACAACTTTATATGAATTATAATGTCCAAATACACGGCGATTGAAGCACGCAATAATTAAGTTATGCCTAGTGATAGCATTGGGTCGAGCTGGATCGGCTCGGCCCTTAAACCCACGAGCTCGCCTCGAGCTCGTGAGAAACGAGCCACGAGCCTGCTCGTGGGCGAGCTCGGCTCGGCCCACGAGCTTTTTGAATATATATATATATATATTCAAAAAGATTGCAGAGATCATCAAAAATTGAGATTATATTTACTTTCCT